AAGCTCTCATGGGGGCAGAGTCTCTGCACGGGCCCCTCGGGGGCCAGGGGCTCCCCGCGGAGCGGGGCCGAGCCCACGGGCAGCTCGGGGGGCGGCTGCAGCGCCACCACCACGGCCTTCTCGTCCTCGATGACCAGGTTCCGCAGCTTGCGCTGCCGGGGGTTGTAGTTCTCCACGCGGTCGTGGATCTCCATGTGGCGCCTCAGGTGGGCCTGGAAGGGGAAGGGTCACGGCAGACGCCAAGGGCCTGGAGCCCAGAGCCGCCTGCGGCGGGGAAGAGCGCGACGGCACCGAGCTGGGGAGCGCCCAGGGGAGGGATCCCGATGGCACCGGATGGCACCGACCAGGGGAGCGCCCAGGGGAGGGATCCCCTCGACCAGGGGAGCATCCACGGGGAGGGATCCCCTTGATGGCACCGAGCTGGCAGGGGGGTGCCCAGGGGAGGGATCCCCTCGACCAGGGGAGCATCCACGGGGAGGGATCCCCTTGATGGCACCGAGCTGGGGAGCTCCCAGGGGAGGGATCCCCTCGACCAGGGGAGCGTCCAGGAGCTCCCGGCCCAGCTGTCCCCGCACCATGGGCCGGGCGCCTTTGGAGGGAGAGGAGGCGGCGCTTGTCCGGGATGGATTCCAGCCTGCCCACCCCGGTCACCGCAGCGAGGGCCCCGGGGCACCGCGAGGGGCCGCGCGCGGCGCGAGGCCCTACCTGCCGCGTGAACTTGTAGCCGCACTCGGTGCACTCGAACTTGCGCACTCCCTTGTGTCTGCGAACGTGCACGCGCAGCTGCTCAACAGCTGAGGAGAGAAGGGGGAAACCAGAAACCAGTCAAGGCGGCGCAGCTGGGGCCCCAGCTATAATGAGCATTCCTGGGGCAGGGATGTGCTCAGCCTGCTGCTATTCCAAGGCACTGAAAAGGGCAGGTGATTTTGTTGTTGGTGGTTTGCTAAAGGCTGGAGCTCATCCTTCCATCTTTCCTTGCCCCCCAGCTACTCCCCTATCAAAACTCAGAGCCCAGTCAGCTCTGTATGTCTGAAGAGTCGGCTGGGAATGCTGCTTTTGGGGCACGTGGGCATTTGCCACGCTGTGACAGAGGGGACTGATTTGCATGTGGGCATTTGTCACGGTGATGCCCTCGGGACAGTGACAGCCAGCGGGCAGGAGGCCGTCCCTCCTGCTGGCGCGGATGCGGCAGCCCCGGCCGTTACCTTTGAAGGTCTTGGCGCAGATCTGGCAGAAGTGGGGCCTCCCCTCCTGGTGTCTGCTCGCGATGTGCCTCAGCAGGGGCCCCTTCTCCGTGAACCTCTGCTCGCAGAACTCGCAGCTGAACGGGCGCTCCCCGGTGTGCGTCCGGTTGTGCTTGTCCAGGCTCGCTGCCGGCACCGGGGGAGAGAGTGCGCGCCACGGTCACGGTGTGGCCCACGCCACGGTCACGGCACGGCCCACACCACGGTCACGGTGTGGCCCACGTCACGGTCATGGCACAGCCCACGCCACGGTCACGGTGTGGCCCACGCCACGGTCACGGCACGGCCCACACCACGGTCACAGCATGACCCGCGCCACGGTCACAGCACAGCCGCCGCGTGTGCCGCCACGGGCAGCAGCGCGCCGTGCGGTCCCTCAGTAGGGGAGGTACAAGCAGGTGCTCATCTGAGCAACCCGGGGAGGCACCAACACAACCGTTCTCTCAGGGCAGCCATTTCGGGAGGCCCTGGCCACCAGCGGGCGAGACGGCGCTGGCTCCGCGTGCGGCCTCGAGGCAGCGGGGCTGGGGGTACCTTGTGTCCTGAAGGTCTTGCCGCAGAGGTGGCACTGGAAGGGCTTCTCGCCCGTGTGCGTGCGCAGGTGCATGTTGAGGTTGGCTTTCTGCGTGAAGGCGTGATGGCAGAACTCGCACACGTAGGGCCGCTCGTTCCTGCCGAGCGGGAGAACGGGTCTGACCCCGCCGCCCCAGACCGTCCCCCCTCAAAGAGTGGGTTTTCCTTTCACCGCTGCGTCTGAGCTGCAGCCCCTCAAGTCAGCGGTTACCACCGTAACCGGAGG